AAGAGCAGATTCGAGATAACGCATCCGCTGCTTGGTTGTCTTTTCCTGGTTGATACGCAATGTCATATTTATAAGGTGCCAATTCAAGGCGCCATCTTTGTATTTTCTCATTTTTAATCTTGCTGGAATGCTTCGTGTTGAACATAAATGTAACACTTTAGACACTTCTTTAGATATTCAACAATAGCGTATTCTTCTTTCTCCACAACAGAATGGTTCAGCTCACTAGAGTTAAGTTATCTTGAACAGAAAGCAACGAGTCTGGAATCCTGACTCAAGGCAGCAGTAATTGAGTGTTCTGAAGCATTAGTTTTAACAACAAATGGCATATTTTCGTTGAAAGCGTGAACAGATTTTGCATCTATATATAGACTTTGCAACTATAGATTTCAGATTTTCAAAACAAGATAAAGCATCTTCGTTCATTGGAAAATTGTTGACATGAACTAATGTTTGGACCCTTTCGGAAAATTGGGTAATCCATTTTGAATAATGGCAAACATACCTAATACCCTTCTGAGAGATGCAGTGTCATTCGGTGGAGGCATTTTTAATAAGGGTTGCAGTCTGCTTTCATCGGGATTTATGACATGGTTTGGTCCTATAGTATAACCAAGTAAGTTTATTACTGTTTGATTAAATTTGTTCTTGGTTTTGTTTAGTGTCAAGCCATATTTGTCTGTGGCCTTCAGAAAGTCTCAAGATTTTTGTCATGTGCTACCTTCGTTTTACCTCAAACAGTTATGTCATCAAGGTAGGCATATATCCCTTTAAGGTTTTTCTGTACGTATGAGCCAGTCGATTGTTCTACAACTGTCGGCTACAAAGTGTAGCCAGTTTTCCAAAGAAAAACAGCCAAAAATTGGTACAGTTTCCCAGCGGCTTCAAAAGCTGTTTACATCTTTTTATGTGGAATTATTGGAACCTGATGGTGGCACTTTTAAAATCTATTGTACTAAGGACATTGTGATACTATTGTAATACATTGGACACCATTTCCTCGATATTTGGCAGTGGATAGGCATCAAGTTGAGTGAATCGTTTAATTGTTTGAGAATATTCAATGACGAGTCGCTTCTTACGAGTTTCGTTTTTGGTGATAAGCACTTGCGCTCTCCAAGGGGACTCACTTTTTCAATATTGCCATCATTTAAAAGCTTCTTTACCTCATTGATCTGATCTTCAGCACTATGCCTGCGCGATTTTACTGCGATAGGTTTACAATTTGAAGTCAGGTTACAAAATAAAGGAACTGCAGGTACCGAGGCTTCAACTACTCTACGTACCTTGAATACTTCTTTAGGTCCTCCAAATTCAAACTCTAGACTTGAGTGGTTAGATAGTACATCATGACCAATTATAATATCAGCACATAGATTTTTAATTATAAGTAAATTAATGTTGTCGTAGGAGTGGTCACCAATTTTAATATTTTGAGTAGTCACATCTTTAACTTCAGAGGTGTGTGATAATGAGGCCATAGAAACAGTCTAAGTACAAGGCTTCCTAAGGATTTTGCACAGGTTAGCAAAGTCTTCATTAATGAAACTGATAGAGCTACCAGTATCTATAAGGGCATCAGCACGAAGGCCTTTTAATAGATGCAGGCACTATAGCTTTCTTCAATGAAGCAGAAGCAGCAGCAATAATGCAGGCTGCGCAGTTATCATAGCCTTCAAATACGTTGGCAGATACACTAGTGCTCTTGGAGCAGCGAACCTTTTCAAAGTGTCCCTTTTATTACAGGATTTGCAGATGGATTCCCGAGTAAGACAGTTCTTCCTTGAATGTATTGGTCCACGACATAAAAAACATTTGTGTCTTGACATAGAAGAGTTAGTAGAGTTGGTATCAGCTGTCACAGTGATACATTCAGAATTTGTTGGAGAGCTCTGTAACTCAAATTGATAGTTACCAAGTAGAGCACTAAGTGCTGAATGTTGATTTGAATAAACCTGGGAGTTGAGTTCTACCATTTCCATTGAAATAGCTATATTGTAAGTTTCTTCTAAAGTTAGTGTTAAACTCTCTAACAATCTCGATCGTATCTTTGTGGATGTCATTCCAGCTATAAAAGTTCCACAGATCGTATTTTCAGCATCTACAGCAGTAAAATTGCAGTATTTTGCTAACTGATTAAAAGATTGCATGCAAGAATCGATAGACTCATTTGCCTGTTGTCATCTAGTGGTTAGTATGTGACGAGCATGAATAGTATTATTTGGTTTGATGTATATTTTGTCAAGAGTTTGAATGGATTCGTTGTAAGTGGAATCGCTTATATAAAATATGTATATACTCGTGGCGAATAATGATTTATTAACAGTTGTAGCTTAGTATCATTAATATCTAGGGGTGGTACAGCAGCACCATCAGCAAAAATAGCGGGAGTGACAATATGAGCAGCTAAAAAGTTCATAAAAGTTCTTCCAATGGTCGCTTTCCTTTGCTGTTGATTTCACAGATGGATTCCCGTTTAACCTCTCGGGTCTTAGATACTTCTCCATTTGTGTTAATTAAATTAAAATGATAAAGCGAAACCTAGTATATAAAGTTTTAATCAACATAAATCAACATAATTAACAGAAATTAATATGGCCGTGACAGTGATTTCTGGTTCTGTCAAACACTGACAGCAATGAGGTTAATATCACATAACCTATAGTCAGAATTTTTTGCATACTTGTATATCGTCTACGATATAACTCGAAAGATGGAATAACTGCAGAGATGCTGAAATATGGTGGAAAAGTGGTAATTAATACTCTACATTCCCTTTTTAACAAGATATTAAAAGAAAAAAGAATCCCAAACAACTGGAAGGAATCAGTAACCATTATCCTATACAAGAAAGGGGATAAAGCAGATATAAAAAACTACCGTCCTATAACACTCCTCAATGTAGTGTATAAACTCCTAACAAAAATTTTAACCAATAGATTGACGACAAAATTCGATGGATACCAGTCGAAAGAACAAGCTGGTTTTAGAAAGGGATTCAGCACAAGTGACCATTTACTAAGTATGAAAATACTTATAGAACGAGCAAATGAATACCACATTCCTCTATATATGGCGTTCATAGATTTCGAAAAGGCTTTCGACAGTGTCGAACATTGGGCAGTGAAAAGTTCTTTGATTAACAGCCGAATTGACCACAGATATACGGAACTAATAACCAATATTATATAAGGAAGCTAAAACAACAATTAAAGTATATGAAGGAACAAAATCATTACAAATAAGTAGAGGCGTGAGACAGGGTGATACAATATCACCGAAACTTTTCAATCAGGCTCTTGAAGATACTTTTAAAAGATTAGAATGGGAAAAAAAGGTATAAAAATTTGTGGACAACGCTTGAACCATTTAAGGTACGCTGATGACATCGTAATGATAACCGATAAAAAAGAAGAATTATTTGAAATGATGAAAGAACTGGACGTAGAAGCTGAAAAGATAGGCCCTAATATGAGTTACAGCTAGACCAAAACTATAACAATTACATATGAAGACATCACAATGAGAATCGGACAAGATGAAATAGAACAAGTTAAGGAATATATATATCTTGGTCAAACTATAAAACTTAACAAAGAGAACCAAACAGCAGAGATCAAGAGACGAGTTAGACTGGCATGGGCGGCATTTGACAAACTAAGGTACATTCTTAAAAACAAAAGATATCCACAGCATCTTAAGACCAAAGTATATAATCAATGCGTACGCCCTGTTCTTACTTATGGTTCCCAAACGTGGACATCTACAAAAACAAACATGGACAAAATCATAAAAACCCAAAGAGCAATGGAAAGACAAATGTTGCACATAAAACAAATGGATAAGAAGAGAAACGAGTGGATAAGAGAGAAAACAAAAGTGAGGGATGTTAGACAAGAAGTTGCAAAATTGAAATGGAGATTTGCCGGACACAATATAAGACAAAAAGAAGACCGATGGAACAAAATTCCTATAAGTTGGAGACCGTGGGAATATAAACGAAGTAGAGGAAGGCCCCAAATGAGATGGGCAGATGATATTAAGAAGCACGTGGGATCTAGATGGATGACTGTAGCGACAGACAGAGAAGAATGGAAAAGGATTGGGGAGGCCTATGTCCAAAGATGGACCGAAGAAGGCTAATTAGATAGATAACTTGAAAACAAGCTTACATAAATTCAAATGGACACCCGGATAAAAAATACACAAGCAATGGTTATCTATAAAGAATCCACATGATGCAAAATGGCAATGTATTAGAGCATAATCTAACCGGTTTTAATATTGAATTACTTAGGAGTGGTAGTATACGTAAAAAAAGAGATGATCGAAGAAGTACGAACACAATTCATAGAAGTATTATAAAGATTCGCATGAAAAAACAAATAGTAAAATCTATAAAACAAGTCACCAGACGTACATGTTGGTGTTTCTTTTACACTAAAAGACTCACAGGATAAAACCTACACAAAGATTAAAAAAATTTAACTAATATACTTTATCAAAAAAACAAACTGATTTGATTGAAAACAAACGGTGATCCTTAAACACCGGCCTTCTGGCGAAGTTATCCGAGATTTGTATCGTGTGATCTCTTTGACCAATTAAAAAAAATCGATTTTAGAAACAACTAAGTGTTTCTGGCCACTTATGAAATTCCAAGAGGAAGCGTTATACTCCATGTAAGTTATGGGTAAACATTAAAATGTTTTCTTCGAAGATTCGTAATTCGTAGTTTAAAATCCTATACAGGGTCGCATAAAATTTACTGCTTTCTGAACTAAATTCAATTTGAAAAATTGAAACGGTTTTGAATCGTTACTATATTACTTGACATATTTTTATAGATATACTAAAATTTGGTTAATTTCAGTTTTATGATTCAGAACATAAGGGTGAAACTTTAGATGTGTATTGCATATTTAGACAACAACAAAAATACGTGTATTTTTATAAATGCAAATTTGACTTAATGTACAAATACCTTTTATATAAAACATCAAACATTTATATTTGTTATTTTTTTTTAATATTTTTTAAATACATTTCATACAATTCGAAACAATAAGGAGACAGTATAAATGTGAAAAAGCGTATATTGTATACAAAGTATAAAAGTCTATAACTCCAAATTTCTCTTTTTCAGCTCTTCTGATATCCAAGATTTCAATTTTAAAGTACTGGCATACACACCGGGAACATTTTCTGTTCCGCACCCGATACCCCAAGAAACGATTCCCATATGGAAATATCTCGTTTGTCCAGGAAGTAAACACATTAAAGGACTTCCTCCATCTCCCTTGCAGGCATCTTTGTTCTTTTCACCACCTGCACACATGAATGACTGGTTTAGAACAAAACCAGATCCCAATCTCGTTTTTCGAAGCTGTTCTTCACATTTACCAAACGGTACAATTGGTAACTCAACTTTTTTCAAAACTTTGATACCTGAAAAGAAAACGTGTTTTATTATACGGGATTGGTCTCAAAGAATTAAATATATAAAATTTACATAATATAAAACACGTATGCTTTCAAAGATGCTACTTTATACTTTCAGCACTACGGTACACCAATGAGCAGCAGATACGATAAAAGGTTTCTTAAGCGGAGTTTACATTGGTATAGTTACTTGCACCAGTAAAAGTACCTATCAGAATAAAGGCGGAAACCGTAATTTGAAATTCCTCATAAAACTAGAGTAAATGTATGTTTAGTTTGTTATATTCTCTCCAAACTGTGCAGAAAGTTTGATAATAAATAAGTCTACCTGAGGAGATTGATGGTACACTAATTCAAGTGTGGTAATTTTATTGAATTTTGGTGTAGCTTACTCTCAAACTCGTGTGATTGAGTATGGGAGTAAATTTGAATTTATCGTACATAATTACCATTTTTTCGCTCTGATTTAATTCAGTTTGAATCCTTTGAACCTACTCGCTTTTTACACTGATATAATTATTTTTAATTAACGCTTAGATTTGAAATTTCAACAGTATAAATTAATAAATTAAATATGCACCAACCCGAATTCCTGATAACACGTCTATGTCTGGTCATGACTATACACACATTTAATGATAACGTATAAAGACTAATTATATCTCCAAATTATATGTTAAGCAAACGTTAATTGTTTTAAAAATGTCAGTGATCTGTCCGAGAGGCATTTTATTACCGCCAATTACAAGCCAATTTTCGGTAAAAATAGTTTGATGGTTTAGAGGAAGTAATTTTGATATATAAATATAAATAAAAACATAATCGTCGTTTTGCTGACGCGCTCAGTTAGTTTAATGTTTGAAAATTAATAGATATAAAAATTAATTTATCACGATTGGTATTTAAAAATTACATCATATGATCCTCTTTAGTCATCATCGACAACAGAAATATAGTTTACATATGATCATGTATGTGAATGTTTTTTGTTTATTTTTTATTGAGTTTATTGAAGTTCAAGTAAAATCTTAAATACATTTCGATGAGGCAAACAAAAATAAGAGAATAAAACAAAACGTTCCTATTTATCACAAACATTATCTACATAAGACAAATATAAGACTAACGCATGGAGTCTTTAAGATTATAACTGGTTACGGTTTTTACATCTACAATTTTCAACTTCTTTTTCTTTAAGACCTTCTTCCACGCCTATCATCCAACCATATGTTTCATAGCCTGAGAAAAAAATGAATTTTTGATGAATGGCTACGTCAGTAAAGAGAATTGTCTAATTTGGGACGATACTAATCCAGATAAGATCTAAGAGCATCCAATAAATTCCGAAAAAATCATTGTTTGATATGTCCGCTATAGAAGCGGAGTTTACATTGGTATAGTTACTTGCACCAGTTACTTGTACAAGTATATCCAGGACAGTTCACATACGCAAGTTGACATGCTAGTAAGTGTTTACACACAAAAGATTATTTATTTACCAGTTCCCGACGAGCACCAGATGCGTAAAGATCATGGACGTATAAATAAAGATATTTATTTATACGTCCATGGTAAAGATGAAACATTTCCATTGTCGGCGCCGTGCTTTGTGCAATAATCCAAAATTAATAATTAAAAATTGCATTAAAAAAATTATGTTGCGAATATCGAGAATTTTAATTGAAGAAGCTGTTAGTTTGATTGAAGAAGAAAAAGTCGTCCAAAAAGGATCGGGGTTCGAAGAGGGATTGATAGAATAATTACAAGAGGGGCATCCACTCTTCTTTTAAAAGAACTTCGTATGAAAGATCCTGAAGAATATAAATTATGCCTTCGGTTGACAACAAGTAAATTCAAATTGCTAAATATGGTTCTGCCTAAAATTCAAAGAAGTGACACGCTTTTAAAAGACGCCTTACCAGCGCATGTTAAATTATAAGCTACCCTCAATTTTTTGGCAGCAGGAAATAGCTATAGAACTCTTCAACATTTTTTTTTTTCGAGTTCCAAAAACATCAATATCTAACTTTGCACCAGAAGTTTGCGACGCAATTTTGACAACAGTAAATCCCTCAACGCCCATATGTGTTGAACTAGTTGTTCTAAAGTTGTCGATCTCATTTGATTATTTCTATAACTTTGTTTGGTAACGTTCCAGAGACATTCGTATTCCCGATAAAGTTCGACAAATTTAACAGTTTCTCCCTCGGACCACTTCATTATTTCACTTTTAACAGTAAAATTAAAAAACAATATCGAAATAGAAAACCGCGACACTGCTCTCACAACGTTATTTGCCAGGACACTTGCACACCCGTCTACACTCGACTAGTTACCAAACCACTTGCCATGTTACTTGCGTCGAGGCGAAAATATGGTGGAAAGGGAAGGACAGTAGGCAAGTAAATAGATGGGCTAGCTATTTACTTATCTGTCCTCGCTACTGGTACAAGCACTTGTACAAGTACTTACCCGGTAGGTTGACATTGGGTTAGTTGTTGCCTTACAAGCTACTGGTATAAGCAACTAACCCGTTTACTATACCAATGTAAACTCCGCTTAAAGATGAAACCTTTCCATTGCCGGTGCCGTGCTTTGTGCAATAATTCAAAATTAATAAATAAAAATAACATTAAAAAAATTATGTTGCGAATATCAAGAATTTTTATTGAAGAAGCTGTTAATTTGATTGAAGAAGAAAAATGTCGTCCAAAAAGGATATGGGTTCGAAGGTGGATTGATAGAAGAAGTAGAAGAGGGGCATCCACTCTTCTTTTAAAAGAACTTCGTATGGAAGATCCTGAAGAATATAAATTATGCCTTCGGTTGACAACGAGTAAATTCAAATACTTGCTAAATATGGTTCTGCCTAGAATTCAAAGAAGTGACACGCTTTTAAAAGACGCCTTACAAGCGCACGTTTAATTAGAAGTTACCCTCAATTTTTTGGCAACAGGAAATAGCTATAGAACTCTTCAACATTTTTTTCGAGTTCCAAAAACATTAATATCTAAGTTTGTACCAGAAGTTTGCGACGCAATTTATGATGTACTGAGTGAATATATAAAGGTTAGTTAAACATTTTTTTTTCTATAGTAAAACACCGATTAACCGGACTAATTAAGACCAGAGGTATTCCGGATAACCAATCATGTTCTTATTATATAGAGAGTAATATTTACTTAATTTTAAACAACTTAATTTATTAAATTGTGATATATATTGAAAATATCTTTGATGTCAGCCTTATTATTTATAAATTTTTCATCTTTTTTTATGTGAATCATCTCCAATACGCATCTATTGTTGCAGTTTTGTTCGTTTTCCAAAATCTGTATATTTTAAAAATAAAAATAATGAGAATTTTCCAGAAAATGATTGGCTAAGGTTATTGTGTTCAATTTCTTGGTTTGTACAATACTTTTGTGTACAAAAACCCTTCTCTGCAGATATTGGTGTGTTTGCCCAATATAAATGTGTTGAATTGCAGTCTTTACTACGAATAGCGCCATTTTGGTGATATTCGAAATAAACTCCAATTATATCATACAATTTGATATACTCATCACGAATTATTAGTACTGATAATTAATTACTAATATTACCAATATTAATATCTATTGAAAAAAATGCAATTTTCAATTCGCATTATACTACATATAACACTTCTTAACAATATTTTGACTGCTGTCAATAAATAAACAATATGAACTCCCTGTCAAATTCATTGTCGTAGCCTACTTAGTTTCGAAAAAACAATTTTTAATCATATGAAATAACAATGGTCAAAATAGATATCAACATTAAGAGTTTTCTGCTATAAAAAATTATGAAAGTACCTACTGACTTATTTTTTAATTTATTTTATAATACAGGGTGTGTCAATACTATACTTACTTATGTTTATGCATTTTTATTCATATCTCGAGTTCGATAAAAGATATTAACATGCAGTTTGCGCCATTTTGTTACGAATTTAATCTAGTTCTATTATAATTTACAATAAATAGGTGTTTCCATTAAAAATTTGGAAGAAAAACAAATTTTAATTTTTTCTATTCGAAAGTACCCTCTACCTACGACAATTAAAACTAAATGCAATTATTTTATAGTAGATTTAAATTAAATTATCCATACTCATTCTAATGACACTAATTTTGTTAAAATCAGTTGATCCAAACCAAAGGTATAGGTATTTATCCACAAATACTTTCCCACTCTCCCCCACCCTTTATTTGAAAAAATAAAAAAAAAAGTACTCGAACAACTTTGTACACAATTTATGCCTCTTTCTAGTTTACTTATTTAACACTTGGTATAATTGGACATATTTCCCAAAAAACTGGTTTTCAAAATTTTCTTCGCAGGTTACGCCCCCTAGCGGTTAATCCAGAATCTTGAAAATTATTTCCAGCGATTTCTCTTGGCCACTTTTACTAAGGAATTTTTTTCCCTAAAGTTATAACATGAATAGTTTCTGATATATAGCCGAGAGATCGGCTTATTGGACCACCCGGTACATGGGCAACTAGAACAAAATATCTCGTAGATACCATGGTCTTTATTGGAGATTTGGTCTTTTACGAATCTGAAGAGATTGAACAACTTGGAGTAAGTAGGGAAGATGGTTCTGATGTTTAGAGAAATAAGAGTTCTACTGATCTTATCAGTTATACCTTTATTAAAAAGTAAAAAGATCTAGACAATTATGAATGTCCTAAGTGTAATCTAAATGGTTAAAAACATTTACAAAAGGCTTTTTCTATCTCTTCTCAAAAGTAATAAATCAAAATATTTTTAACCAGCTGTATCTTATGAAAAATTTAATTGTAGCTATTTTATTTCAGTACAACTTTGCTCTAAAATGAATTGGTTTAAAATTATAAGCAAAAATAGTTGAAAAAAGCTATGTTTTTAGTATATTTTGAATATATTAATTTTTTATTTATGTTCTCGTCCTACGTGAGAGGGAGGGAAGTCAATTACAATTACTCAAGTTATAACCT